CCTCCTCCCTTGCCCCTGCGATCTCCTCCTTGGCCTGCCCGCCTCCTTATTCCCCCTTTCTCTCGCCTCGAGGCCAGCCCAGCCCGGCGACTTCAACGCCTTGCCAGGCGGATCTTTCCGCCCTCAAGCAGCTCGAGCTCGACGTCGACGTGCTCACACGCGTCCTGGCGCCTACTGTATACTTGATGCAGAGCTTTCCGACGTCATTGTGTTTGCCGCTCCGCGCTCGACGCCTGCCGCCGCGCGCGCCCGCGCGCCACCCCTTTTGCGCAGCAACACCTTAAATTTCATGGCCCTCCAAATTCGGGTCGGAGCGTAGCGGAGTGGGCCCCGAGTTTGAAAACGGCGACGGACGCTTGCGTCCTAGCCGCCAACAACGCCTCCCCGGCGCAGAGGGCCCCCCGGAGGGATGCTCAACCGCTCCACGCCACGCCGCTTGCGGCGGTCCTATTCCACGCTCGCGGGGGCCGCTTCTTATTTTCGTTTTCGCTCGACATCGCCGCGCATCTCGACATTTCAGAAAGCGAATCCCCGGCCGCATCTCCCCGCTCGAAGCTGGGGGCGCCCGCTCGAAGCTGTGGCGGCGCAGGCTGCCACCGCTGCCCGGGCGCGCCGAGCGGCGGCGGAGGGCCGCCCAGGCCACCACCAGTGCCTCTCCCTTCGGCGGCGCGGCGGCAGCGGCGCCGACCGCCCCTCCATCAGCGGCGGCGCGAGGCTGTCGTCGGGACGCCGGCAGGTGACGCGCGAATAGGGTGCCACCGGACCGGCCGACGAGCACCCAGCGGAGCCGTCAACGTGCATGGCGAGCCGAGCACCGCCGCGTCGCTTCTCGGCGCATTGGAGAGCAGAGGAAGCTGCTGGCGTCGCGGCTGGGATCGGCAGCGGCGCCAGCAGCTTTCTCGGATCTGAAGCGACTTTGAGCGCCGATCGATCGATCTGAGGGCTGACCGATGGGTGGCGCTGGGAGGAAGACCGCGCCACCCGTCGGCCAGCCCTCAGCTCCGCGACGGCGACTCGATAGTCGTGGCCGGCGCTCGGCTGCCACTCTAAGCTGTGCCGCCAGCGCTCCTGGAACCGTGACGTCACTTCTTATGGATGCGGCACTAGGGACGCCCAATGTTTTCGTAAATATAGAAGCCACTCTCTCGCGTGTGGAAGCCACGACTGCGTAGTCGTGCTCCCCCGGAGCACGCCATAGAGCGCCGGTTGTGTACCGGGGGCGCACACCCGCAGCCGTACACACTGCTGCCACCTGCTAGGGGGGCGCCGCAGGCGCCCCAAGCGGCGCGGAGCGCCGCCGCAGGCGGCGGACAGCAGGTGCGCAAAATTAAACGCCATTTTCGGTTCCGCAGTTTTGCCACTAACGTCGAAATCCGGTACAAATCGAGACTTACGATAGGGTGCCCACAGGACCCAAAAGAAAATAGCTTTCCGCAAAATAAAAGGGACGCACGAGGCAAATCTGATGTTGGAATGCTTCAATAGGAGAGAGGCCTCTTCCGTTGGGGGACCGAGTGCATAGGAAACGAGGGTTCCCCGGTTTGTCACGCGCGAGCACGAGCGTGACACTGCACTTGGCGCCGAGCGCCCGCGGCACAGACCTTGTGCAGGCCACCCCTCGGTGGGCACGCCGGTCCGGACCGATGGCGCTCGGTGTGGAGCAAGCCCCCCCCCCCCCCCCCCCATCGGCGCGCGCTCGCCATTCCAACGGCCGCCAGGAGCACCAAGAGGACTCCTCATGGCTGTGCCCAAGTGGGCTTCGACCGGCCTCGGCTGGAGGGGCGGGTTGTTCCGGTTGCGGACACCTTCTGCAGCCCCCTGGGCCCGTGACAGCACCCCAAAACTGCCCCTCGGCGGCATACAGCACTGCCAGCCAGCCTCTTCCTCCTCCTCAAGGGCTGTACTATAGGCCATATTGCGCCGCCTCCTACTGGCAGCCGGGCGGGCGCGCGCCGCGGGCGCCTCGGCGCGCGCACGGCTCGCAAAGTTCGAACGAGTACTGCCGCCCGGCCGCCTCAAGGCTGCCGGGCGGCAGTACTCGCCTCGCAAGGCGCGCACCGGCTGCTCTGGCTGCTGCGCCGGCGGCCGCTGCGCTGGCCGCTGCTGCGCCGGCTGGCGGGCGGCACGGCCGCCGGCGGCCGCTGCACCCGCGCCTTCCCTCGCGGGCGCCGTCGCGCCGCGCGCGCCCAACTCTGCTGGTACACGGCACGCGCGCGTCACACAGCCGCGGAGAACAGGCGGTGCTGTGCGCGAAGCGCGCGCGATCTCGTACTTTTAAGGCTGGATCCGGCCATTCCAAGGGTACCTTTGAGAATCCCCAGCGTCCCACCCTCCTAGTCACACTCTCAATATCTCCAATATCTCGACTAGCCAACATGAAGTGCTGCGATCGGGAGTGCCCCATTTCTTTTTTCCTTTCTTTTTTTGGGTCCTGTGGGCACCCTACTTACGAGCCGAGCCCCCCACGAAAACCACAGAGGGGCGCGCGGTCCGCGGACAGCGCGCCGCCAGGGGCGCCGCAGGCGCCTCAAGCGGTGCGGAGCGCCGCCGCAGGCGGCGGACAGCAGGTGCGCGAAATTAAACGCAATTTTCGGTTCCGCGGTTTTGGCACTGTCTACCAACTTTGGTACAAATCGACTTGCACTTGGTCTGAGCCCTGCCCGCTGCGTTTGAGCCTCCATTCTGAAAGTGTAGGCGTAGAAGGGAAGGCAGCAGGTCCGGCTTGCGAGCTCCGCTGTGCGCCGACAAGCGGTATGGCGCCGAGTAGAGGCCATTTTCCTATTAGAAAAGGCTGTCGAGAGCGCAAAATTTTCTTCGCTGCGCGCCCAACCATGGTGGGCACGCAGCGGGCGCCTGTGGCGCCAAATTTTTGAAATGTCTGCCAGTCGCCCAACCTGATCTCAGAGTCACTCCTCGCTCGTCCTTCGGCCGTCGCCAGGCGGGGAAGAGGTTCCCGCGTGGAGGCGACGGCGTCATGCTCGAGCAAAGGAGGGAGATCGGCACGCGGCCAGAGGACTGCTCAGGCTGCCCCGGCTGCCGCCAGCACCTCCTCGATATTGGGCGTGGCGCCCGGCACCTCGTCGCTGTGCGCGAAGAGCACCTCGTCGCCGTCGATCGCGTACGTGCCGCCCAGCACCTTGACGCCCTCGGGGAACTCGCCAAACTTCATGCCCTTGGGCACGGGCGAGAGCGAGCCCACATTCTTGAGGTAGGTCATCCATTTGCCCATCCCCATGGCCTTGGGCGGCTTGAAGTCCGGCGGCTTCTCGAGCTGCTTTTCCCCTAGCTTGAGGTTGAAGCCGGCCGCCCTGTAGCCGGCAAAGTCGGGCGAGTCGTCGATCAGAGCCTTTGCGCCCGTGAGCTCCGGGTTGACCTCGAGGAACTGCTTGAGCTGGTCGGGACGGCCGACAGAGATGAAGAGCGGACCCGCGACGCCGGCGGCGGCGAGACGCGGCGTCTCGCGCTGCCAGTTGAGCGCGTAGTCCCAGCACAGCGGTCACCCGAGGTGGCGGAGGAAGATCACCACCGCCTTGCCCTCGTCGCAGTATGGTGCACACAGGCTGTCGCGAGCACCATACTGCGTAGCTTGCGGCCCGTCACGCGGACGTCATTCATCACCACGCCCTGCGGCTCTGCGCAGCCGCAGTCCGCGCCGGCTGACGTCGGCTCCAACGAGACGTCCACTCCGCTGGACGTCTCTGCCAGACACAACCGATGCAGCGAGCGCAGAGCGCCGGCTTGGGCAGCGACAGACGTCACGTGCGATCCCACGTGGAAGCCACCGCTACATAAACTCGTTTATTCACGAGGCGACCCTAGGTTTCCTAGTGGCGTGCTGTGAACAAACAGCGAAGAAGACGCCTGCGTGGAAGCCGGACACGGCGTGGGCTGTTCTTCACCTTTCTACCTACCTAGAGGATGTAGAGGATCTGTAGGAGAGCTGTTTGTAGAGATGCAGAGCGCTCTGGAGCGCTGTGTAGAGCTGTAGAGATGTAGAGCGCTCTGGAGCGCTGTAGAGCTCTACATCCGCCGCGCGACGAACTGCCTGCGTTGTAGAGCGATGTAGAGTAGAGTTGGTTGTAGAGGCTCTACAGCCAAACCGCCGGGAAGGCACTGACTCAAAGAGGTCGAGCCGCGCTAATGGGGTGTCTCCGAGCTTACTGGAGCTCTGATGGACGGCCTTGACTATCCCTGACACACAGAGAGTCACTCTGACGGCACACAACACCCTATAACTGCGTCATGACCAGCCTGCCATGCGTCGCCGGTGCCGCATTCGTCGCTGTGCTTCTTAGCAGGCGGTGGACTGTCGGCTGCGAGGACGGTCGCATTTGCGCGAGGCGAGGCGAGCATTCAGACGCGTTGCATGCGCCATGACTCGCGCCAGCGCGTGCGGGAGCTCCTGGCTGAGCGTTGGAGTCCATGCGAGTTGCGCTGGCCACTATCGCTACGCCGAGCCGAGCTGACGCGCCGCGCCGAGCCGCAGCCGTGAGGCATGCCACAGCAGCAGAGGCACCTGCCACCCATTGGGCAACCACTCTCTCTCTCTCTCTTCGCTCTCTCTCTCTTCTCTCTCTCTCTCTCTCTCTCTCTCTCTCTCTCTCTCTCTCTCTCTCTCTCTCTCAAATCGGCATTTCGAGATTTTGAAAACCAACCAGAAATCACGACTTTCACGACTTGGGCAGCGACAGACGTCACGTGCGATCCCGCGTGGAAGCCGGACACGGCGTGGCAGTAGCGAGGAGCATCGATCGAATTGGGTCGCGATCGGGAAAAAGCAGGAAAAGTCTATGTTTTTCTTTTTTGTCCATTCTGAGGGAGGGTGTAGAGGATGCAGAGATGCAGAGCGCTCTGGAGCGCTGTGTAGAGCTGTAGAGATGTAGAGCGCTCTGGAGCGCTGTAGAGCTGTAGAGCTCTACATCCGCCGCGCGTACACGGAACCATCCTTCGGAGACGTGTTATGGCCCTGCGACCGCGCACCCCCGGGGCTAGGGCTCTCTAGCCCGTAACCCGATGCCGAGCGTCCGGCCAACTGGGTGCGCTTCTTAGCTCCCCGGTCCTGGGCGTGAGGTTGATGACCGCACTCCAAGTGCTCCAAGTGCGACGAACTGCCTGCGTTGTAGAGCGATGTAGAGTAGAGTTGGTTGTAGAGGCTCTACAGCCAAACCGCCGGGAAGGGACTGACTCAAAGAGGTCGAGCCGCGCTAATGGGGTGTCTCCGAGCTTACTGGAGCTCTGATGGACGCAGGACGGCCTTGACTATCCCTGACACACAGAGAGTCACTCTGACGGCACACAACACCAGGGTTCGTGAGTGAAATTTCACCCTTTCACTTTCACATGTGAATTCATGTGAATTTCACATGAAACGTTTCGGCCGCCCCCGTTTCACTGAAAATTTCACAAGTTTGCATCCAAACGCGGTGAAAGCGACGAAGTATAGAAAGGAGAGAGCCCAACCGAGTAACTAGTGAGAGGAGGTGCGAGAGCAGCTTGGTTCGTGAGGTGTGTCCTGCTCGGGGCTCAGGCGCTCGAGGACGTGTGTGTAGGGCACCCAACGGCCAGCTGCACGACATCCTCGGCGACGCCGCGATGGTTAACCCTCGGTCGAAGCATGCTACAAGACACAAATTCCTACTCAAACGACTGGTCAAGACCCTCCGCTCGGCGTGGGGCATGATCATCGAGATGGAGCCGACTGCACACCTCAGTTACAGTAATCCCAAACAACCTGACGTGGCGGCGGCAAACATCGGCAAGGGGCACAGGCGCCTTGTTGCCGATTTGAAGCTCACGAGCTCGCTTGCGAGCAAGGGCAAGGACGCGGCCGGCGACGGAGAGCTCGGCTGGAAGGGGGCGTATGTTCGCTTCGGCAACACGGAGCCCGGGCTGCTCAATCTGGTCAAAGGGCGCGGCAAGTACTCGCCGTCGAGAGCGACGGCAGCGGCGGGTGGCGGAGGAGGAGGAGGAGGAGGAGGCGGAGGCGGGGGAGGTAGGGGAGGGGGAGGACGCGGATGCCCCCAAGAGGCCGCTCATGCAGCTGGATGGCGATTACCGCTTTGCGCGGGAGCAGGATTGCGATCTGCGCTTGTTCGACTTCGAGAGCTTCGGAGGCTTTGGAAAGGAGGTCCGCAGCTCCCTGAGGGAGGCGGCGAACCAGCTGAGCAACAAACTTTCACATGCTCAGCACCTGGACGAGGTCACATGGACAACCAAGAATTGGCACGGCCTGCAAATGCAGCGTTTGTCAGTCGTCCTCCACACCGCGCTGTGGCGTGGCAGACGGTGAACGAGCTAGCGTGCGGGGAGAGCGGCATTGTGCATGGTGCGGAGTGCATTGCCGTTCTTAACGGAGTCGCTTAGGCGGCTCCGGTGGTGAGCCGGTGTGTGTGCCAGTCCGCGCCAGTCCGCGCCCTTGTCCAGGTGCTGAAGAAAGAAAGAGAAAAAGCACAACACAAAGAAACGGGCGAGCCAAGGGAGGGATGGGAGGATGGACTCCGTCGGGCTCGCGTCTCCCTACCTCTCGCGGGAGCTGAGGGGAGCGCAGGGTGTCTGCGTCTGCGTCTGTGTCTGTGTCTGTGTCCCTGTCGTGTCGTGTGTGTCGTGTGTAACTCTCGCACTGCTCTATCTTAGCTCTCGCCACAGGCTCAGCCTCGCCTCCGCCCGCACGCTCGACACACGACAAACCCGGACGACGTGCGTTTTTGCTTCTCTACAAAACACGCACACCCACGCCCGCCCCAGTCAGCGGACCCAGCGCCATCGAGAAGAAAGACTTTGGCGAGCCAACGCAGCCCAGAGATAAATTCTCCGCAAGAGAGCCTAGCCGCTAGCGGTGCAGAGCGCGAACTCGCCGTACTGAGCCTAGCGCAGCGCGAACTCGCCGTCTGAGCCTAGCGCAGCGCGAACTCGCTCCTGTTCATAGCTGCGCAACCCTAGCCTAGCTCCATTTTAAGTCCAGTGTGCTAAGACAGAATTCTCTTTCCCTCGACGAAGCAAAATTCTCTTTTCAACAATAAATAAATAAATACAACGGACACGCCAAACGAGGGGTGGGAGAAGGACAGGGTCCCCACCTGCACAAGCAGGATCTTGTAGGACGATCAGGGACACAGGGGAACGGGAGCGGGGAGCGCATCGCGACAACACTGGGCATGTTGATGGCAAAATTCTCTTTTCTCCGCCCGAATGGCGGGCCCGGCCATGCAGGACCTGCTGAAGAACGCGCTCGCCGAGCTCGACGCGGACAGCGACGACGAGCCTCCGGCCCGGCCCACGACCGCGGCGACGCCCGCGGCCGCTCCACCCGCCGCAGTGGCGGGCCCGGCGCGGCCTCCGTCCGGTCCGACCGGCCCCGCGGCGCAGAGCAGCGGCAGCGGCAGCGCTTCTGGCGGCGCGAGCAGCGGCGCGGGAGACGAGCTCGCCGGCATGGAGGAGACGCTTGCGGCTCTCGCCCGGTCAGCCGAGTCGCTGGCGGCGAACGGCGGCGCGGAGGGCGACGAGTCGGCGGCGATGCTCGAGATGCTGACGAAGCAGCTGCAGGAGGCGGGCCTCGGCGAGATGGACGCGGGTGCGCTGGAGGGGCTGCTAGGAGGTGGCGGCGGCGGCGGCGGCGTCGGCGGCGGCGGCGGCGGCGCCAGTGACGAGGCGATCGACGGGCTCTTGGACGGTCTCGTTGGGCAGCTGCTATCCAAGGAGCGCGGCAGCTCACTTGCGGCAGCCCCGACCCCCGCCAGCAATGGAGGGACTCCCAGCCCTGGCCCTCTTCACCTCCCGCCAGCACGAGGGACGCAGCCGTGCTCACGCAGCCGTACTCAAATCACTGATGGGGAGCCAACCGTCAGAGGAGGCGAGGGAGGGCGGTGGGCGCCGCCGCGGCTGAGGCGTCTGGGGCGTGTTTGCCCCCCCCCCCCCGTCCCGACTGGCACTTCGCAGAAGGGCCTGGGCCAGAACGCTTTTCCAGCAGTCCCAGACTATCAAGCCGCCAGCTCTCCTCCCCCCCCCACCTCCCTCTTCCCGCAAGGGGTCGGGGGTGGAACGGCCCCCCCACACCGCAATCAGCCGAGATTAGCCGAGATTAGCCGAGATTAGCCGAGATTAGAGGGCCCCGCCACACCGCAGTTGTCAGCCTGCAAAGCGCCACGCAAGGGGAGTTCCCCCCATTGAAGGTCCCCCCCCCCCCCCCCCCTCCCTCCCCCCCCACAGGAGGTGATGCTGGAGCCGATGCTGTCGCTGCGATCCGACTTTCCTCGCTACCTGGCTGAGAAGGCGTTGCCTACCCCCGGCCGCACCCCGGCCTACCCCGCGTCGACACCGGCCGCACCACAGCCGCACCACGGCCGCACCACGGCCGCACCACGGCCGCACACCTCGCCTGCGCACCTTCGCTGCACACCTCGGCTGCGCACCTTCGCTGCACACCTCGGCTGCAACACCTCGCTTACACTTCGGCCGTGGCAGGGCGCGTCGCTCCCGCCGCAAGATCGCGCGCGCTACGAGAAGCAGCAGGCGGGCCTGACTGATGACGCACGCACGCACGCACGCACACGCACACACAGACAGACAGACAGACAGACAGACAGACAGACAGACAGACAGACAGACAGACAGACAGACAGACAGACAGACAGACAGACAGACAGACAGACAGACAGACAGACAGACAGACAGACAGACAGACAGACAGACAGACAGACAGACAGACAGACAGACAGACAGACAGACAGACAGACAGAGAGAGAGAGAGAGAGAGAGAGAGAGAGAGAGAGAGAGAGAGAGAGAGAGAGAGAGAGAGAGAGAGAGAAGGAGAGGAGAGAGAGAGAGAGAGAGAGAGAGAGAGGGAGAGACAGACAGAGAGACAGACAGACAGACAGACAGACAGACAGACAGACAGACAGACAGACAGACAGACAGACAGACAGACAGACAGACAGACAGACAGACAGACAGACAGACAGAACGGCCGGCCTGCGCCGCGAGCCTGCGAACGGCGTCTCTTCACGCTGCGGCTGTGAACAGGCTCTTGTCGACCAGATCGTCGCCGCGTACGAGGAGGAGCCGGAGGACACCGACCGCGTCGCCAAGCTCATGCAGGAGATGCAGGCGCGCGACACGCACACACAAAAGAGTTCGAAGGAACCCTGGCGTTGTTTGTCACGCGCGCGCACGCACACACCACCACCACCTTCCGACCTGACCTTCCTCCTTCCCTTAGGCGTGCGGGCCACCGCCGACAGAGCTGGCAGCGAGCGGGCTGCCGGGCGCGGAGGGGTGCGTCATCTCGTGAGGGGGCGCGGCGATATCGATCAGAGAATCGTGTTCGTGAGTGGCTCCGGCTGCCGCAGCCGCACACGACTCTCGATGCTGGAAACCCGTGGCGGCGTGCGGCGTTGTGCGCAGAGAGAGCGCTCTGCGGCCTGGCTGTGCACTCGACTATTTTGAGAGAGAGAGAGAGAGAGCGAGCGAGAGTCGAGAGGAGAGAGAGAGGAGAGAGAGAGAGAGAGAGAGAGAGAGAGAGAGAGAGAGAGAGAGAGAGGTAGAACAGCACAACCTCAATAAGGCTGTACATCAAGCACCGTCCACGTCCACCGTCCAGCGCCGCGTCGCCGTGCGCCATACACAGCTAAAAAATGCATCAGATCACTAGGAATCCTACATATAAAAAACGTCTCGAAGACACTCTGCGGGTCTCTCTCGCGCCAAAGGAGACCACATCACAACGGAACCAACGAGCGAGAGCGCTCTAATATCGCCGCCGTCAGATGGTCAGCATGATGTAGATGATGATGCAGAGCACAACGATGAGCAAGACTGCGGGGAGCGGTAGCTGTCAGGCGCAGCTGGCGCGGCGGGGGCGAGGGGGCGCGGGGCGCACGGATGGAGCAGTACAGCCAGTTGTTCTTCGTCTTTTGCAGCAGCTTCTTCATCCGACCCTGCTGCGAGGCGAGCGTCCCCTGCGTCCGGTCGACTCCTCGCTCGAGGTCATCGAGCAGGTTGCTCTGCGGGGCGCGGCGAGGCGGTGTGGCTCGCGAGGCGCGTCGCGCGGGAGGCGGCCCGAAGGTCGGAGGGCTACACCTGCAGTGTGAGCTCGTTGTGTATTTGCCCGCCCATCGTCCGCAGCGTGCCGATCGAGCGCGAGAGGTCGGTGAGTGCGGCGTCCTGCTGGCGCATCACGTTGTCCTGCTGCACGAGCACGGCGCCGTAGTTTGTGGTGCTGGCGCCCGCATCTGGCACTGCGGCAATGCCAGTGGCCGGGGCAGGATTGCTCATGCACTGGTAGTCGCTCGTGGTTATAACGCGTTTTGCGGCTGAGCGGCGCGCCGTCCTCTACCTCTTGCGGCGAAGCTTACCTGTGAATCCGTTGCTGTCTCTCTCCCCCTTCTCGACTGTCTGTGCTTGTGCGTCTTGGGTCCGGAGTTGTGCGTTTATGTGAATCCAGGCCTCAACCTCTCACAGGCCAGCGCACAGCGCCATAGGAGGTATTTTCTTCTCTAAGTGAATCACGCCCGCTGTGAAAACAGTTGGCGGGGGATTTTTTCGCCAGTCAATAGAGCATGAAAATGCCTTTCAGACGGTACCTTTCTCTCCTCCAGAGTCGAAGAACTCGACCGGTCGCTGGCCGCCAAAGTGGCTGGACGGCGCCGCGGCGCACACTGGTGAGCCGCGGAGCACACTGAGGGAGCTGTCCTCGGCGCAGCCGATCGGCTCCCGCGGCCTGGGTGGTGGCAGTGGCACTCCCTGAGGCTCCCTGATTTTTTCTGGTATTTGTTGAGAGCTCTCTGGTCACCTTCGCCGGGCGAGCCTGGCTCTCGCTGCGCAGCGGCGCGACCCGCGGTGAGGCTGCCGATCGTCGAACTGCATGCTGGGCTTAGCTCTCAGTCAAGATATTGTGCATATGGTCGGTCTCTACAATACCTTGGCTGAGCACGACTGATGAATCGGCAGCCGGGAGACAGGAAGGCTCGCTGTGTGAGTCGGCCACGCAGAGGGTCGGAACCTGCGTCGCAAGAGGCTAAAGGAGGCTAAAGGACGGGGAGGGGGGGGGTGAGTCGAAAAGAATTTTACTCGCGCCGCACGACACGACACGGGCGACGGCTTCTGAGCTAGCTAGCGCCTGTCGCGTGAGTCGAAAAGAATTTTACAACAAAGCTCTCTCGCACAGGCACGATTCACACAACAGGCAAAGCGAGAAAAGAATTTAAACAAAACAGCTGTCTCTCACAGCAGACAGGCTCTCCCATCCCTCCCTTGGGTTGTCTGTTTTCTTTCTTTCTTTAGCAGACAGGCTCGACACAGGTGCGAACTGGCGCGTGCTAGCACTATCACAGGCACACACACCACTGGAGCCGCCTAAGCGACTCCGTTAAGAACGGCAATGCACTTAGCTCCGTGCACAATGCCGCTCTCCCCGCACGCTCTCTCTCGCACGCTAGCTGTCGAAAAGAATTTTACAAAAAAAGAATTTTGCTTGCGCACGACACTGGGCACAGTCGAAAAGATTGTAGGCCGCCTCCGACGAGAGTTGTTGTCGACGCCGAGACGGTTGACAACTTCACGGCTTGCCTTCTCCGAAGTCTTACGGAGAGAGAGTTGAGAGAGAGATTTTTAGGAGGCCAATGGTCTACAATTCACAACGCTTCCAATATTGTGTACCAGAGAGATAGGTGTGAGAGCTGTGGGAGCGGCCTCTTCAACTGAGCCAGTTGGTTAGAGGCGTGTGTGTGTGTGAGTGGTTGCTACTTTCAACGATCGGCGTCGTGTTGCTCCCAACACTACAAGTACAAGTACCCGTCGCAAAACACTTGCCGTCAAGCCCTGGAGGGCGGGGCCAGGCGCCACATGGCGCCGGCCAAACCGTGTACTAGGTAGTTCGTTTAGAAAACTTGCGTTATGGCGGACGCACGAAAGGCGACAAGCAATCCCCACAGCGTCGGTGTGCTCTTTGCGGTGGCGGGCAAGGCGGGCTTTGTCCTCTCCGAGGTGTTGCCCGCCGTTGCCTACCTCCGCACAGGCCTAGGCATCGCGGACGCCGCCGAGCGGAGGCGCAGGAACGATCTGCGGGGCACCAGCTGGGCGCTCAGCTTTGAGGTGCACTTGCAGGAGGTGATGTCGCCGGTCATTGGCTTCTTTGACGTGGTGCGCAGTAATCTCACGAGTACGGCGCCTTCCGGAAGCCCGACTGCGCACCGTGTCAAGGCCTTCAAGATACAGGCCCTGTGCGCCGCGCCATTTGATGTCACAATCTTCCTTGACCTCGACTCGCGGCCCTGCCGGCCGGACTTCGCCTTCCTCCTCGTCGACGCGCTTGGGTCCGCGGACATCGCCCTGACGAACAAGTACTCGACGCAAAGCGCCGTGTCCTCGACAAGCGCCGTCCACTGGGCCGGCAATGAGTCGCACAACTCCGCATGCGTCGTGCTCAACATGCGTTCACCACGTACTCGCGCTCTGCTTCAGTGCTACGCGGCGGCCTTCGCTGCCGCCGTGCCATTGGCATCGCGCGATCAGCCATCTCTCTCACTCGCTCTCCGCTCGATGGCGCTGCCATCTCAGCTCTCGTCAACGCATCCTTCCTCTTCAGCGCAACTGACGCCAAAAGTCGTGGCGCGGCTTGCGGTGGCGGCGCAAAAGCGGTACGGCACGTTGCGGCATGTCGATCTCACGTCGGCCGTGTTCTGCCGCAAGAAGCTCTCTCCCGTAGTCTCCTGCTCGGCGGGGTGCGTGCTGGTCCACAAGCCGCAGAAGCACGACATCGGCTTCAAGGTGAGTCGGAGCCTATTTGCCGGGAGGGGTCGCCGGGTCTACCCACAGGACCTTGCCCCACACTAGCGTGCGGAGACCCCACTTCGCCTTTAGGTCTTCGGGGTAGGCTTCAAGAAGACCGGCACGACGACCCTCGCCGCCATCATGCGGCGGCTGGATGTCGGCGCATCGCCTCCAGACCGGGTCCGTTACGAGGCCGTCGACGCGCTGCTTCTGCGGCGCGACGCGACCACCGCCCTGGACGTCGCATCGCGCTACAAAGCTTTCGTGGACGCGCCGTGGGGCTCGTCGCTAGCCTCATCCATGCAGCCACCGCTGTACCAGCAGATAGCCACGCGGTACAAGGACGCGAAATTCGTCTTGACAGTGAGGCCAGAGGCCGACTGGTGGAGGTCCATCCGGGATTGGGTCACATGTCAGCTGAAGAAGCAGTCCAATGTGGATCGGTACACGCAGCTCTTGGGCGCACACAATGCCTCGCGAGCCGCCTGGATAGCCGCCTACCGTCGCCACAACGACGGGATCATCTCCTACTTTGCAAAGGCACCGCAGCGCCTGCTGGTCATCGACTTTTTCGACCGGGAGACGTCACGGTCGACCGGCTGGTCACGCCTGTGCCCATTTCTGAGGGCCCATAGGAACTGCCCGACCGGGCCGCTGCCACACGAGAACGCATTCGTGCCCTCTCACGGGGCGTTGGCTTCGGCGCGGAGCACAGAGGGGAATGCCACGGCGGCACCCGCGTCGGGTCGCCCGAAACGGCTGGACCAGCTGCTCCGGTCATTCAGCCAGCGGCCGAGGAGGCCCACCCCCCCGAGGCGTCTTGACGAGGCAACTGTGGGCAAGCTGTCACCGGGCGCGCCCGACTTCTTCTGTGGCTCAACCAAGCCGAGCGTCAGTGGCGGGTTTGCCATCGAACGCTTTGTGCGCCATCGGCAGATGTTCAGCCGGTGCGAAGCGCCGCCGCTGACGAGGAGGAGCGCCACCAGCTACCTAGCGATCGCGCGCGCCGGCTCTGCGACGCTCATGCTGGCCTTGGAGCAGGAGCACGCTCACCATGACCACCGCTGCACGGCCAAGGACCTGCAACGGCGCGGCGCCCGGCGCCTCTTCCTCGCGCTGCGGTCGCCCGCCTCACGCATCTTCTCTGGGATTCGGCGACGGGTCGAGGGCCACAAATCGAGCAAGACGACAAACACGCTGTTCCGGGCGCACTTCAACGGCACCGATGCCGCCAATCGCTACCTCGACGCGTTACGTGACGAGCGCAACGCCCTGCACGCGGCGGCGATGGAGAGCACTTTTGCGAGCCACGCACAGAACTTTATGCTACCCGTCTACGACCACTACCTGGCAAAAGCTCCTGCCAGCCTGCACATCATACCTCTTTGTGTTGAGACCCTCAGCGAGGACCTCGTCAGAGCGGCCGCGTCCCTCGTCCCACCGCTCGAGCGCTTTGTCGAGCCCAGCGCGCACGTGCCGCACAAGTCGACAATTAAGTTGCGGCCGCTGAGCGAGCAGAACCGGCTCTGGATCCAAGGCACTTACGCGGCTGACGCCGAGCTGCACAGCACTGCGTGTGGTTCCTACCTGGTGCAGTGACATTTGGGAAACTGGAGTAAAATATTCACGACTCACACCGCAGCGCTGCACCTTTTGTGTGCAGCCAGCAGCAGCACCCCCACACACCACGCACACCCCCATGGTTGATGTACGCTGACTCCCGATGTTACGCGCACGACGGCGGGGGGCGGGTTCTCTAGTGGCGGCGGCTAGACCGCCTCGCTCGCCTTGCCCTCCCCTCCCTACAACTCAAGACACGACTCACCCCACTCAACCTCGATCCCTCGATCGGTTACTACTCTGCGGCGAAGCGCGGCCGGCTGCGCAGTCTCAGTCTCAGCAGCCGCCGCACGGACGTCAATGGCCGCACGGACGTCCGCCGTTGCCCACGAGACGCCGGTCTTGCGTGACCTGGAACGTGACGTGGTGGATACCGAACTTGTACTGGCAAACCTTGCAGAGGTCCTCGAGCACCTCGTCTGTGTCCTCGCACGAGGGCGCGCAGAGCACGTGCGCGGTGAGCGTCAGCTTGCCAGGGGCGAGGGCCCACAGGTGGAAGCAGTGGATCGAAGTGACGTCCGCTCTTCGAGAGAGCACGCGCCGCAGCTCGTTCGTGTCGATGTCGGGGGGCGACGCCTCCATCAGCACGGTGTACGCCTCGCGGAACAAGCCCAGCGTGCCAGAGAGCATCCAGACGGCGGCTGCGGCGGTGACGACGGGGTCCAGCCACACCCACCGCTGCCCGTCGAAGGTGATGAGGGCGGCAGCGATCAGCACGCCGCCGCTCTGCGCCACGTCCCCCGCTACATGTACCAGGGCGGCTCGCGTCGACATGTCACCGCCGCCGTGGCTGTGCCCGTGGCTGTCGTCGCCCTTGTCGCCGCTTCCGCGGAAGAGGAGGAGCAGGCCGAGGTTGGAGGCGAGCCCGAGGGCAGCCACGCCCAGCATGGTCGGCCCGTCGGTGCGCGGCTTGTTGTCTGACGATGCGAGATCGTACATGCGCCAGGCCGCCTCGTAGAGTAGCACCCCGGCCGTGGCCCAGATTAGGAGGAGCGAGCCGAGCCCGCAGAGCACCTCGGCGCGCAGCAGTCCGAAGGAGGCCCTTGCCGACGGCCCCTTGGACGCCGTGCCGAGCGAGACGAGGACGATGCAGTATGACGCCACGTCGGCCAGCATGTGCGTTGCGTCGGTGACCAGGGCGAGGGAGTGGGCGGCGAGGCCGCCTCCAAACTCGATGAGCATGACGGTGGTGCAGCAGACGATGGCGAGCAGCGCGCGCCTCCGCTTGGCCACCGTCTCGGGGCGCGGCTTGCTCGTGGGGATGCTGTTGCTCGGAGCCGGGCTCACGAGCTGAAAGTTGCCGTCGTGGACGTGCTGCACGCCTTGCGGGAGAGGTGTGTCGAAGCCGCGGCAGTCCCACTCGGTCTCGTCGGGCCGCTCCAGGTCGATCAGCGGCGCGCGAAGGGTGCCGGACCAGGTCATAATCTCAACTCATGAACGAGCGAGGCGAGACTATAGGCGGGTTGGCGCATCACCCGGCGAGGTACTTCCAGCCTGCTGTGGGAACAGCTGACGCAGTCTCGCCGAGGCTCGCCCCAGCATCTCGGGTTGACTCGGCCAGACAAAAACCCCGAGAGGCGTGGGAGTACCTCGCCAGGTGAGAACGGCGTTCGCTGTAAGCTCAGCTGTGAACTTCCCAGTTGTTTGCTCTTGCTTGCGCGTGCCCTTGCGTGCACGCCCAAGCTCGAGCGGCATCACGCAGAGCGAGCTCTGCGTAGGTCCCGCGACCTTCTCGGGCAGGAGCCCACCTCTCCTTCCCTCCGTGCGCCCTACGATATGGGCAAATCCGCGCCAAAGCGCGCTTCCGACGCTGACCAGGGGCAAGGGGGGGCGACCCTCGCATCTCTACGCCCGGACACGGGCAGGAGAGCCCCACGGCATTCAAAGTGCAAGCACTGGCCCGGTGCACGTGGGTGAGCACGAGCCTGCCCCTCCCTCCCGACAAACCAACTCCCGCACACAATCGCACTCTGCCATCGAATGACTCCGAATGACTCACTGTGTGTGCTAAGACAGAATCTCCGCAGACAGCCAAAACGGGCCGTGCCGCGCGTTGTTGGTCCTTCTCAAGCACTGCATCCGTCCGGGCGCCGCATATACTCGAGTGGGCGGGTCACATCGAGTACGCGTTCCAGGTCTAGAAAGAAAGATGAACACCGCGTCGCCGTAATATCTGTCCTCCCGCCAACGGTTTGGCCAAGTCGGGGCGAAAACCAGTCCACTTACCACCTTCTCGCACAATGGACTTTCGCGGCGACCGGCAGCGGTTGGGGTTCCGCGGTGGCCTGTGCGAGCTGCCGCATGACATACTCTCACACGCACTCTCGCACGTCGTCGTGCGCGGCGGCTGTGCTGCTGCGGGCCGCCTAAGGCAGGCATGCTCCTTCTTTGCGTCCCGAGGCGGCAGCTTGGCAATGGAGCAGGGCTGCCGGAGTGTCGTGGCAGCCCGGTGGGGGGTGAGCGAGTGGGAGGCGGAGGGCCGTCGCGGACGCGCCGCCACGAGGCCTGTGCTTGAAGTGCGCGACGGGGCCTGGCGGCGCGGCGACTGGGTTCTCACCGCGGCGTACGCGGTCGACTTGCCGCTCGCAGTCTCTCGCTTTGTAGAGGCGCGGCGGCGGGTGCAGGAGCTGCCACCTGGGACGGCGGACTACGAGGACAAGGTGCACTTGCTGGAGGCGCGGCTCGCGATCATGCGCGCCTGCCACGGCCGTGAGGCGGCCGGCACCTCTACTCTCTACCACGAGCGGAGGCGCCTTCCTGGAGCCTTCTGCGAGCCTCCTAGGCGGTCAGCCTCGCTCTGCTCCGCGCGGACGCCGCCGAGGCGCGCGCGCTGCTGCCCGAAGGCTTCGACGTCTCACCGCCCGAGCGGGTCTTCCAGGCACCACACACACACGCACGCACGCACGCACGCACGCACGCACACACACACACACACACACACACACACACACACACACACGCACGCACGCACGCACGCACGCACGCACGCACGCACGCACGCACGCACGCACGCACGCACGCACGCACGCACGCACGCACGCACGCGCGCGCGCGCGCACACACACACACACATGCAGCATATGCACACGCTCTCTCTCTCTCTCTCTCTCTCTCTCTCTCTCTCTCTCTCTCTCTCTCTCTCTCTCTCTCTCTCTCTCGCTGGCGTGCGTGGAGACGTGTAGCTCACCCGTGCCCTCACCGCCGTCCAGGAGCTTCCCCGGCCGCGAGCGGCGGGCGCGGGGCCCGCCCCGTCCGCCTCGTGCCGCCTGTCGGTGCCCGGCCTGGCCGGCAGACTCCGCATAGATGCGGAGTGCAGATCCGTGTGTATCCCCGACTACTAGAAGTACTCGAGAGGACGCGCAGTCGGCGGTACTCGGCTGCACTCGGCGGCACTCGGCTGCCACTCGGCTGTCTTCCCTCTCTTCATGCCCCTTGCCTCCCCCTCCACAAGACGGCCCCTGACTGCTGGCGCCCTCGCAGGAACGCTGCATGAGGGTGCCCTCTACCACGTCGACCTGTACGTGCACCAGGACAACCTGACCTAGAGATGCGGAGCACAGACCCACATCTCCCCCGATCTTCCCAGATCTCGGAGCCTAGAGATGCACAGACCCACATCTCCCCAGATCTCGGAGCCTAGATGGAGTACAGACTCTGTGTGCTCCGACGGGCGCTCGAGAGGACGCGCCTTCCGCCTCCACTCGGGTCTTCTGCTGCATTGGCCGCCACTATCTCCCCTCTATCTCCCCTCTATCTCCCATCTATCTCCCCTCTATCTCCCCTCTATCTCCCCTCTATCTCCCCTCTATCTGGCAAGCCTAGCTGGGTGTGGAGGCGCTCTATCTTCACTCTGTCTCCACTCGATCTCCCCTCTATCTCCGCTCTGCACTCGTTCTCCGAGCAGACTGCCGCGATGCCGTCTTCCCGCCCCGCCGACTCGCGCTGTCCGGGAGACTGCGTAGCACTCCCTGGCGGAGGGAGGCGCGCGACTCCGTGACTCTCCGTCTCGCGCGCCACCGTGCTCTCGCCAAAGGTGCAGTGGGAGTGAGTGGGACCAGGAGAGACTAGTGACCCCGGCGTGTTGCGCGACGCAGGACTACCCGAGCAAGGACCCGATCGGCACGACCGGGCCCGCCCTCCTCACACACCACCTCTTGATGGCGCTGCTGCCCTCGGAGAAGGTCTTCCGCCCCCACCCTCCACCCCGGCACTAGCTCGGCTATATCTCGGCTACATCTCGCCTACATCTCGGCTACATCTCGCCCATACCTCGGCTAGGTCTTCCACCCCAACCTCTACCCCAACAGCGGCCGACTCTGCTTTCACGGACTGCTCGAGGCGCACCCCGCGCCCACCTAGCGCCCACCGCCTTCGATGCCCTGCCCTTTGCAGAGCCGCAGCTTCCCCTCCTCCTCCTACCCCCGCACCCTAAGATGGCATCTCTGTCCCACCGGCATGCCCGCCGTCGCCCACGCTCAGAGAGAGCAGGCCGCCTCCGGCCAGCCGTCCCCTCCTTCCCTAGGCAGCGCGCTGTTGGGACGCTAGCTGCTCGCTGAGCGAGGTGCTGCTGCACGTCTGCTTCGGCCTGCGCCGCCGCTGTCAACTCGCCGAGCCGTCTCGGCGTGAACGGCGTCTCTCCACCCCTCTGGCTGACTGACAGGCTTGCACCACATGCAACTCGCCGACCCGTCACACGGCGAGGCCTACGTCGCTGCGCAGCGGAGGCACGCCTCCCGCCCTCTCCCCTCCTGCCCTCTCCCCTCCCGCCCTCTCCCCTCTCCCCCTCCCGCCCTCTCCCCTCCCGCCCTCTCCCCTCCCGCCCTCTCCCCTCCCGCGTCCGGGCGAGGACAGAGGGGCCAAGTCCCCCCTTCCCCCGCTGTGCCCCCTCAGGCACCTCTTCGTCGACTTTCAGATGCGCGTGCGAGAGATGGCCGAGACGGCCGCCGTCGTCCCGCCGCCGCCGCCCCTCCCGGCAGAGCTGCGCGCCGCGCTACTCGAGGCGCCGCAGGGCAGAGAGAGACAGAGGGAGCGAGAGGTGTGTGTGTGTGTGTCTGAGACATTTGATCGATTAGCCGCGAATACAGCGAGATTGGGCGGATCGGCCGAGATCGGCCGCTACAGCCGAGATTGACCGAGCATGGCCGAGAGATGTTGCCCCCCCCTCGAATGCCGTGCGGCTCCCGCCTGGTCCCCGGACGTGCCGAGCTGGCGGCTAGCCCCGCGCACTCGCCCCCGGTGGAGAGGCGTACCGGTGTACTTGGCCTCACCCCGCGCAGGCGCCGCTGGATGCCAAGTTCCGCTCGGTGCAGCTCGGCTGCCGCACCCTCCGGCTCCAGGTGCTTTGAAGAATGAGAAGTCACGTCACGCCGCGTCGTGTTGAATATCCACACGATGCGCCCTGCAGGCGCCGGCCGACGCGAACGGGTGGCAGCGCCTCTCCTGACGCGCTCGGCCCTGTCGCGCGTGGGCAGCGCGCGCCTACGAGACGCGGCCCCTGCCGCCCGACCACGGCCCCCAGAAGTGTACTCTCTTCCCCTGTACATAATTGTACCAACGGCCAACGGGAGCCGCGCCGCCCCAGTCAGAGTTCACCCTTCCAGTCTCGTGTACCCTCTCTTGTCAGCGATCCCAGTCAACTCCTAGCTGTAGCTCGTAGCTGTCTGTTGCGCACGCACGTCTCGAGCTCTCTCGCGCCTCGGGGACTCGGCGGTGCCGGTGAGGCGGTGTGTGCGGTGTGCTAGCAGCTGCCAGCTCGTCCACACAGCAGAGCACGTGACCTCACGTGTGTGGTATTTTATCTATTAATGTTTGTGTTTGTCACTGTTGACCTTTTTGTCGTACCACAGCGCTCTCTTTCCCCTTCCTCTCCCCGCACATGAGAGTGGCCGCGTGGCGGGGTGCGCTCCCGCCTGCTGGCAGCACGTGCTGGTCGGCGAGCGGGCCGAGGCTGCTCTACGACCGCTCCGCCGCTCAGCTTGCTCCGCCGGGTCTCACTTGTTCAGATAGGCCCGCATTTTCTTGACCGAGGTGCAAGCCTAGTCGCATGTCGGCATGTGCATGTGCATGTGCACACTCATGTGTGCGTGCGCGCGCGTGCGTCTCCGTGCGTGCGCGTGTGTGGATCGAGGCGAGATTAGCTTGTCTAACCTCGTCGCTCTCGCCGAGCACCGCGTCGAACACTTCCTCCATTGCTGGGATCAGAGCCTCAGCGCCTGAATCGCCGAGCCGCTCGACAAAGGTCGTGAGCTCGTACTCCACACCGACCATGCACTCGACCGGGTCTCCGTCCTCATCGTCGTCCCAAAGGGCGAGCACGTCGAGGAGCGCCTGCTTCTGTCGGCGGGTGGACGAAGACCGTCAGGTGCGAGCGATGGAGGAAGTAAAGTTTATACATGAGACAGAGCCGCCTGCGCCGCCTCGAGCATCGTGGCACAGGAACCGGTGCGCAGCGGCCCTGACGAGATGAGCCGGTGGGACGCAGCGCCCCTAGGAGCCGGCATGACAAGGGATAGGGCCGCGAAGGAAACAGCGAGCATTTGCAGCTGGTGTACGCGCGGTGATGAGCTGATCGTGCGTGCCAGATGAGCCGAGATTGGAACGTTTCTTTTTTCTCTTCTAGAGGAAAGAAGAAAGAGATGAGCGGGAATAGTTTTGTGGGGGTGGTGGTCGGCGAAACCGGGGTTGTCCCCGGCGAGCGCGACGCGCTTCCCCACGTGGTCGCCCTCGCTCGTTCTTCCGACCGCAAAAGCGCAAAAAGGACTGAGAAAACAGCGCGAGATACACCGCATATACTTCACGCATGAGGGCGGCACATCGCTCATCGGAACATACTCCACACGTGAGCTATATTATGGAATGCGCGGCCGTGCGGTTCAGCACTCTGCGGTAGCACTTTGACTCTATCGCTTGCGCGAGGAAGTTTCGACCTACACGAGGCGGGAGAGGGACTGGTTGGTAGGCCGCTTGGTCGGATGATCCGGGTGTGAGATCTAGTCGCCCAAACGCGTGCCCTCGACGGCATAGCCGAGGTCGGCGCGGTAGCTCGCGAGCGCCTCCTGCCTTTGACGGACCTGATGAGGAGGCAGTGAGAGCACGATCTTGATACAATGTTTCCCTTGCCCTCCTCGATCGCAGGGCGGTACGGGGCGTACCTCGCTGGCGCTGACGGCGCGCAACGTCGAAACCACCGAAAGAGGGTCCCGCTGGAGGGCCTTGCTGGGCAGGCGCAGGAGAAAGTCCTATGCGCGGTTGTAGCTGTGAAGAGACGCCATTCAACTTTGTGCCACAGCTCGGCCGCGAGAGGAGGGCCTCCCACCGCACGCGGGCGGGGAAGGGCAGGTCCCTCGGCGAAAAGACGTCCGAGATGACAACCGGCAAGCAGCCCGCGGCAATGGCCGAGTACCTGACGAGCGATGCCACGCCAGTCCGTGTGGGTGCGAAAGAAGCAAGATCGGCCAAAGGGGTGGTCCGCGCGCATGAGCGAGCGCATTGAGTTGTCACCGGCCGGCATGAGGCAGAAAATGGAGGACGCCATCTCGCGCGCCGTCTGCTCAAACATCGACGACTCGACGTTCCGGAACCGTTGGGTCTGCAACCACTCCCTGTGCCCCTTGACGAACGCCGATTGGCGCTCGCGTGCCTTGACCGTGGCGCGCTCGCGCTGGCTCTTGGCTTCGAGCCTTCGGCCGCTGCCCTCGCCCTCGGCCGGCGACCGGCGTATGCCTCCAACCCAAGGCACGCAATACGGGGGCCGGTCGAGCCGACGCCAGCCGGCGCCGCATCTGAACTCGCTCGGCCCGCTACTAGCTCGCCTGCTCACAAACAGACCGCTGTGAAAGAGACGACGTTTCGTGCAGGCACAAAGTATCCCAACGCTCGGGCGCCGGCAGACCCGCGTCGAGTTGGTGCGCTCCAGCGACCAGCCATCCGGGCACGACATGTCGTCGCCGGCGTCCTGCAGCCGGCTCCTCCCCTTTGGGGACCGCCATGACTGCGAGAAGCCTGAGGGCTCTCGTGCCCTCTGCATGCCGATGGGTGCCTTCGTATGCTTCCTCTTCGCCGTGGGCAAGTCCAAACCATCCGCGGCCCGCTCACTGCCGTTCCGTTTCTCCGCCAGGCTCATCAGCTCGACAGCGCGCTTCGCGCACGGCATCTTGGTCGCCAAATCGTTCGAGGTCGGCCGAAGGAAACGGACAGTCACGTCGGGCATCTGTCATGGAGATATCGAGGGTGTTCGGAGGGATTAGGAGGAAAAAGAGTCTCGGAGACGGCCTTGCGCCTGCATCGTCGCCGCTGCAAGAGGCCCGATGAGGCACCGGACCACCTTACCGGTGCAGCACACGTCTAGCGCGCCCGCGAAGTGAACTAGCGTCGGCCGTTCAGCTCGCATGGCGACCAAATCGCGCGCATGGGCCGACGACCGGAAGAAACGCGTCGCGTGCCTATATAATGAGGATGTGGCGAATATGAGCGCCTGTACAGTGCTCCCGCCTCGACATGGCCAGGCTCTCAAGGAGGAAGAAGGTGCTCGCGTCGTGCTCAGCCCCTCAGGCGTGTGTCTTCAGCATCTAGGGTCGCGTGCGAGTTGGCCTGCCACGGAACCGCAACGACGCATGCCCCAACGCGCGAGCTGGCCGGTAGGTTGGTGCCCTTGTAGCGGCCGGCAACTCCTTGCTGCGAGGCGGGGCGAAAGGGGGCTGCTCACGGGGGGAGCAAGAGGGCGCTGTCCGCGAGGGGTGCACGAGGTATGTAAGAGTCCCCGAAGCGCTTCACCTTGAGCAACTTGCCGAGGTTGCCCATTCGGTGGGCCATGGAGTTCTCGGTGTTTGAGATGCTGTACGCGCTAGAGGCAAAGACGTGGTCTGCACCCTGGTGCCTCTGGTACCACGGGCTCGCCTGAAGGGTGCGTAATGGACAAGTATCTCATGGGCACGTCATAGAATGTGTCGCTCTCCGGTAGGCTCACCGAGAGCTTGGCAGTGGCAGCGGCCACGCGCGTTGGGTGTGTCGTCCCGCGGCATTCACCCATCGACCACGAGGAGTATTCAAAGACGGGCACCTATTCAAAACGGCGGGTGAAAAAATCACTTGCCTTCTGCTGTCTGAGCGGTTGAGGGCAGCACGCACATAAAACAGCTGCGCCAGCGCTGGGTCTTGCACCTATGGAGGTTCGGAAATGCACGTTTGAGATGGCGCGGACATTAGCAAGCACTGCTCTGTGCCCTCGCACCCGCTGCGGCAGTCGCTCGAGTGCGTGCCGCATGCCGACCTACAGTCAAGGAGGTTTCAGTGGCTGCTGACCGGCAGCGAAAAAGTGACCCGCCTTTGGGCTAGTCAACTGGGTTTGGGACGAGGCGATGGGGGGGGGCGAGGGGCTGCGCTGTGCTAGGGTCCAGCAAGGAGTGGCCCCAAGCCCACCTCGGCCAGGTTGTCATTCTTTGACGAGTTGATGAGCTGCTGGAAGCCAACGCAGTTTGCGAACCAGGCGTGGTCGAGGGCAGGGTCAGTGTACATGTAGAAGCTCACGTTATGCACCGGCCCGTCACCCAACGATCCCGCCGGCCGGCTGAACGCCACCCTCATTGCAGCCGCGCCGAGCGGGTCATTCACGATGCGAGAGGGCCCGCGCAGGCTGCTTCCGGCAGCGTGCGGGTGAAGTGTGCGGCTCCGTTGCTTCTCTTTGGTTGCGCCGAGCACGTACGCTACGCGGAGGAATACGAGTGTCGGCATAAGATCTGGCCGGCAGCACGTGACGCATCGCCGCTTCGTGTCGTGTGTGTGGCAATAGTCTGCGTGCGTCCCCCGGTGTGCCGCACAGCACCCTAGGGGCGTGGCCCTCAACGGAGTTATTCGTCGGGTGCGGTGTCGCTCTATGCTAACAAGAGTTGGTATCTAACAGCTCTGTCTATCTATACTAACTAGTCTATCAGTACTACCGCGCCCCGCGCCGGGCCGCAGGACGGCCATCGAATGGTACACAATGCATGGCGTGCACGACTGTCAAATTGGGAGAACGCCTGGTGGCCCTGCCATGCGCAGGAGATGCTCCGCGGCCTCCGAATCACTTTTTCCCGCCGGGAGGATGCCCTGCACCGCCTCCACAGGGCGACCGCTGGGGACGCCAACGCAGGCAAGAAAGGCGGATGGCGGCGGGGCCCCAACAGCATCGGCAGCGATGGCAGGCGTGGCACCGGGGGGGGGGCGGAGATGGAGGCGGCGCAGGAGTGCACAGCGAAGGTGGCCGCGCCGGTGAGGGTGGCCGTCGGCGAAAGCACCGACAGGGGCACCATGCCATGAAACCAGAAGTACGGGCGGGTCGGCATGCACGGCACACACGGCACGGGCTGCGCGATCGGCACCGCTGGTCTCGGCGGGGTGGTCTCGTCGCACTCCCCCATCGACTGCCGCGCCTGCTCCTCGAGTGCTCGAATCCATTTACGCAGCTGAAGCTCATTGCACGTTAGCAACTTTCCAGAAATGAGAAGCGCGGAGACGGGGGCAAGTGGGCAACTGCGGGGCGGGGTCGGGGTCACCGGCTCCACTTCTGGGAACTCACGGCAGACTGGCCTTATGCGATGGCCCCGAGGCCTAGCCAGCGCCAGCTGCACTAGCTTGAGCTTGAACTGCAGCTTGTGCGTGATGCGACGGCGGCGCTGCTTGCGCTGCGGCTGCGGCTCCACCTGCGGCCGCTGCGCCTCGCCGGCCTCATCGGCATCCGCGGCGACCGTGCCCCGCTCCTGCATGCCAAGCGCCTCCTGCACGAAAAAGTTGTGTAAGGCTCGAAGGTGCGTGAACACAACGCGCCTCGAGCGACACCGCTCACGTGAGCCGGGACGAAGAGGCGGGCTCTGGTCCACCGTCCAGTGCGCTGGACTCCGCCCCCCCGGGCTAGCCCCCGGGGGTCAGACCCCCCCCCCCCCCCCCTCCTTCGCCCCCCCAGCTGCACGCGGATGACTTTAGATGTGCGGGGGGTGCCGAGCAGTGACCAGTGTGCGCGGCCGCTCCAGCCTCTCATGACACCAAACAACACCCGTCACCCCCCACCACTGGGGTGCGGCACCAGGCACCACCCACACACACCTTCCTCCAAGCACAGGGAGGAGGAGGCCGGCACTGTATTGAGTTTTTAGATTTATGTTTAATGTTTAAAAGCCGTCGACACTGCAAGACGCGAGACGCGGTCAGCGGGACCAAGCTCCAAGGCTCTCAGCGCGAGCGACGAGGAACCGAGAGGAATGCGTCTACTCGCATGTGCCATGTGGGTCCCCATCTTGATAGACAGACACACTCACTCAGTGGCTCGACCATCCGCCTGATCAGGAGCGCTGCCAACGCGGACGCGCTTTATCGGCGCCGCACCACGCCCCTCCTCCCGAGGCCTCGCGCCCGCCGATGGAGGCGCTGCCCTCGCCTCGGCCGGCGCTGCAGCGGCCGAAACGGCGGACGGTGCGGACGCCGGAGCGGACGTTTGAAGCGGCGCGCCGGATCGCAGCGTGCGAATGGCGTATGATGCAAAGGCGGCGACGTCAGTGGCGAGCCGCGGCTTGCTCTGCGGCGCCTCTGCGCAAAGGAGGCGCACGAGCGACGCGCTGCTGGCAGGAGCGCCTAAGGTGAGGTGAGGTGAGTTGTGTCAAAGCCAGTGCCCATAAGCCGGCGCCCGCGGTGAAATATTGCGAGTCTGAGGGAGGGCGGGGGGGGAGGGGGGGAGAGGAGTGCCTCGTGCATCGGCGGCACGCAATTCCGCGAGCACACCCTTGAACCACTTGGCCTCGCAGCCTCGCGGCAGCAGCAGCCGTAGCCGCACGCCCGCTTCGGAGGCGGCGGCGGCGAGAAGCAGCATGCGCGCGACGGGCTGGCCGCCGCCGAAGCCTTCCGATCCCCACAGCGAGGCGGCGACGAGCGGCGACGCGGACGGAGGCAGTGCTTGCCTCCGAAGCGCAGAGAATCCCACGGCCAGCTTCCGCACCTAGGTAGGAGCCCTGCGGCAGTCGAGCGCGAGGCCCGGAGCGCGGTGGGTGAGGAGCGCGCGCGTCCCAGACCTAGCCGAGATACAGCCGCGCGGGTGTGTCTCCGTGTCTGGTATACGCGGCGACGGGCCAACGGCCCGTCTCTCAGTGTCTGTCACTGCACACCTCGCGACGCACGGCGTCCGGGTGGAACTGCGCCGTGGATGGGCGGCGGAGAGGGTCGAGCCAGAGGAGGGTGGAAGGGGCGTCCCTGCGGGCGGGAAGGGCTCAATAAGAACGCCGTGCGTGTGTACCACAGGTGTGCATTGAGGACCCGCTTTTAGATGCCGGGCCTGCGGCTGGATGTAGGCATGAAGCCAAGGAACCTCAGCTTTGGAAGGCGTGGGGCGAGAGGCGACACGAGCGAAGCCGAGATGAGGCGGCGAGGGCGGCAGTCGAAGCCGCGAGAGAGCGCCGGGAGGTGTCTAGCAAGGCTCTGCAGCCCTCTAGCAGCCCTCTGGCGGGCGAGTGGAGCGAGGGGTACGGAAGGTTGTGGAGAGCCACCTCCACGTCTCGGGCGCCGCCGCCTCGCCAAATGCGAAACTGTGGCCGGCGCCGCGGCAGCTGCAGTAGCGCAGCGCGCCGTGCACGAGGACGGCCTAACCAGGCCCGTCCGCGACATGTCTGTGGACGCGTCAGGGACATGGCCGGCCGACGCCCCACAGAGGACGGCCTCGTCGTCGCGCATCGGCGCCGCGCACAGCAGCAAACCTACGTGGTGGAGACACCAACAGTGAATACGAGGGGTACGAGAAAGTGAATACAGCGAAATACGGTCGACTACAGCTGAGAATACGTGTCCTCTCGAGCGCTAGTTGGAATACAAGAAATTCGTTGCGCTTCTGGGGGCAGCAGGCCGAGCAGCGCCTGTTCACGGCGTGGCGTGTTCACGGCGTCGGGTGAAGAGGCGGCCACCAGGGCCGGCGCAACGCAGAGGTCCGACCGCGCCTCGGGGTGGGTCAGCAGCGCAACCTCCTCCTCACTCGCCGAGTTGCCAGCCACCGGCCCGCCACCGTACGACGAGGAGGAGCACACGAGCAGTGACGAAATCGAGGCGGGCCCGCTGCCGCCGCCGCCACCATCATCGCCGCTGCCGCTGCCGCTGCCGCCGCCGCTGCCGCCGCCACCATCGCCGTTGCCGCCGCCACCGCTGCCGTCGCCCTCAGACGCCGCCGCGGAAGAAGCCGCCGCCGCACCGACCACAGGAAAGGCATCCTCCGTAGCGACTAGCTCCACGACCACTTCCGAGAGCGGCAGCCCCTCGCCGTCCCCGCTGCAGCTGCTCCTCTCGCCGCCGCCGCCGCCACTGTTTCCGCTGCCCCCCTCGCCGCCGCCGCCGCCACTGCTCCCGCTGCCCCTCTCGCCGCCGCCGCCGCCGCCGCCGCCGCCGCCTCCCTCGCCGCCCTCGCCTGCGGCATTGCTCCTCGCAGAGTTGCGCTCAAGAGCGACCGCGGGCGGTGCGGCGGCGAGGGCGAGGCGGCCGCGGGCGCAGGTTGTGACTTGCAGATAGGCGAGGAGGCACGAGATCTTGTGCGGCGCAATCTTCGCAGTCGAGGCGAAGAGTGGGTCGGCGCCGCCTCCGAGGAAGTCGAGAGGAGAGCCACGCGGCGCGTTGAGCAGGAGAGCGTTGCAGAGGTAGCTCGTCGCGTGCCGCCTCGGCACCGAGACACGGCCTGCCGTCGGCAACGAAGACGGCACCATTTTGTCGCATGCGGACCGAAGCGCTGCCGGCAGCAGCGCGTCGAAAAAGTCTCCGCCCCGCGATTCGAAAGTGGCAATCGCGTCCCGGAGGGCACGGAGCTTTGGGAACCACTTGCTGCCCGGGCTCATCAGACCTCCCTGCTCGACCGGCCGTGGCTCGCCGTGGAAGCCATGCCGCAGCAGCTCCTCGAAAGCTCGGTAGCGCGAGGCCTGCGGCGCGGCGCAGCCCAGCGCGGAGCACCGCTCCTCATACGCCTGCACGGCTGCGAGCCGCTCTGCGCCGTCGAGCCGGACGAGCCGGACTTCCGCAGACATGGCTGCGCCCCGGGCAGCGAAGCCTGTCTTTGCGCAAAAACTCGGTGTCGACCACCAGCCCGACGCTCACTACTCGTCGCCCTGAATGGCGTTGCCCAGGTTGTGGAGGACACGATCCCGGCGTGAACACGACTAACTGACGGATCCGCTCCTGACAGTCGCACGCGCCGCGCTGCGGCGCGTGCGACTGTCTTTGTTTGAAGTTAGAAGTCGAATCAGAGCGGCGTCGGCGTTGTCCTCCATTTTCCTCCCCTGGGCCCCCGTCCGGCACCGCTCCGGGACGCACGCCGGCGAAGCACCATCAAGCTGCTGTACGGCCCCGGCATCGCCTCCCCTGGCTTAGCTAGAGTGAGAGATATTGTGCACATGGTCAGTCTCTACAATATACTCACTGACACTCCACCTCCCAGAGCTCGTCCCGGTCCGCCACGGCCATCCTTGGCCTCCGGAGGGCCCCCGGCCGCGGCGCGGTGCGGCGGCGTCACAAATCCGACCACAAAGCACCGGGACGCGGTCGGGCGATCTGAGGTCCACGTCGCCCTGAATGGTTGCCCAGGTTGTGGACGACACGATCCCGGCGTGAACACGACTAACTGACGGATCCGCTCCTGACAGTCGCACGCGCCGCGCTGCGGCGCGTGCGACTGTCTTTGTTTGAAGTTAAAAGTCGAATCAGAGCGGCGTCGGCGTTGTCCTCCATTTTCCTCCCCTGGGCCCCCGTCCGGCACCGCTCCGGGACGCACGCCGGCGAAGCACCATCAAGCTGCTGTACGGCCCCGGCATCGCCTCCCCTGGCTTAGCTAGAGTGAGAGATATTGTGCACATGGTCAGTCTCTACAATATACTCACTGACACTCCACCTCCCAGAGCTCGTCCCGGTCCGCCACGGCCATCCTTGGCCTCCGGAGGGCCCCCGGCCGCGGCGCGGTGCGGCGGCGTCACAAATCCGACCACAAAGCACCGGGACGCGGTCGGGCGATCTGAGGTCCACGTCGCCCTGAATGGTTGCCCAGGTTGTGGACGACACGATCCCGGCGTGAACACGACTAACTGACGGATCCGCTCCTGACAGTCGCGCGGCGCGTGCGACTGTCTTTGTTTGAAGTTAGAAGTCGAATCAGAGCGGCGTCGGCGTTGTCCTCCATTTTCCTCCCCTGGGCCCCCGTCCGGCACCGCTCCGGGACGCACGCCGGCGAAGCACCATCAAGCTGCTGTACGGCCCCGGCATCGCCTCCCCTGGCTTAGCTAGAGTGAGAGATATTGTGCACATGGTCAGTCTCTACAATATACTCACTGACACTCCACCTCCCAGAGCTCGTCCCGGTCCGCCACGGCCATCCTTGGCCTCCGGAGGGCCCCCGGCCGCGGCGCGGTGCGGCGGCGTCACAAATCCGACCACAAAGCACCGGGACGCGGTCGGGCGATCTGAGGTCCACGTCGCCCTGAATGGTTGCCCAGGTTGTGGACGACACGATCCCGGCGTGAACACGACTAACTGACGGATCCGCTCCTGACAGTCGCGCGGCGCGTGCGACTGTCTTTGTTTGAAGTTAGAAGTCGAATCAGAGCGGCGTCGGCGTTGTCCTCCATTTTCCTCCCCTGGGCCCCCGTCCGGCACCGCTCCGGGACGCACGCCGGCGAAGCACCATCAAGCTGCTGTACGGCCCCGGCATCGCCTCCCCTGGCTTAGCTAGAGTGAGAGATATTGTGCACATGGTCAGTCTCTACAATATACTCACTGACACTCCACCTCCCAGAGCTCGTCCCGGTCCGCCACGGCCATCCTTGGCCTCCGGAGGGCCCCCGGCCGCGGCGCGGTGCGGCGGCGTCACAAATCCGACCACAAAGCACCGGGACGCGGTCGGGCGATCTGAGGTCCACGTCGCCCTGAATGGTTGCCCAGGTTGTGGACGACACGATCCCGGCGTGAACACGACTAACTGACGGATCCGCTCCTGACAGTCGCACGCGCCGCGCTGCGGCGCGTGCGACTGTCTTTGTTTGAAGTTAAAAGTCGAATCAGAGCGGCGTCGGCGTTGTCCTCCATTTTCCTCCCCTGGGCCCCCGTCCGGCACCGCTCCGGGACGCACGCCGGCGAAGCACCATCAAGGATGAAGGAATGCTCGCAACACTTCAGCTCGACAACATGCACCAAAATGGAAGCTCAGACTGGTGGCACTAAGTGCACAGCCTCTTGTGCAATTGGTGGCGACGTGCGCCGCCGCCTGAGTCGAGGAACGCCGATGTTCAACATTGCCGTCACGCTGCAAGCTCCATCGGTTGGACTGGTGGAGGTGGTGGAGGCAAAGTTGGTTGCGGTCATGTCGAACCCTGAGGCCGCCTCGGCGTTTTTGGCAATCGAGGTGATCAGCATCCCGGTGCTCGTGCCGGAATACACCCACGCGAAGGAAGACATTGGGCTTGTGGTTGGGTGCGTCGTCGGAGGGGCCCTCGCAGTCGCTCTCGTCATTGTTGGAGTAGTTTGGCGCGTGCGAAAGGCAGGCGTTTCCATCCGGGAGGCTCCCTCCCCCTCTGTCGCCGAGAAGGCACCGCACGCCGACGCCGTCGAGGCAGCGCTAGAGTGATCGCTACCCAGTCCATCTGCGCTGCCTTACCAGCAGCAGCAGTGTGCATGAACGAACGAGGCACCTTGCACGTGTTTCACTGTTGTTCGGGGGTTCACTATAGGATCCCTTCCGAGATTTTTTATCAGATCTGTGGTTGTGGTCGTTCAGCCGGGCGGCGCCTCGAACGTATCTAGATACCCGGAGGCGGACTGCAGACAGCAGGATTGCCCACTTGTGACTTGACATGACTCGGGCGTGAAATCGTGATGAAGATGTGCAAGAGCGGCTGTTCACAGCGCAACACAAAAAAACGCAGTCCACTCCAAAGCGCCACAAACAGAAGATACCGCCGTCCTCAGACCTCACACACACTGCAGCGGCTCATCGCCTGTTCCACACAAAGAATAAAGATCGTCCTGCTCGTGGTGTTATAGGGGAGTCCTTCTCATAACTCCTCGTTGGCGTGGCCGGTTTTATTTAGTTATATGGGGGCCAGGGCCGCCCAGGGCTGGTGGCCTTTTGTGATCTGTGAACACACACACACACACACACACACACACACACACACACACACACACACACACACACACACACACACACACACACACACACACACACACACACACACACACACACACACACACACACACACACACACACACACACACACACACACACACACACACACACACACACACACACACACACACACACACACACACACACACACACTCGCACACACAGATGCATCACACCAATCCTCGCTACCCAACGCGGGCAAAGGATATCCACCTCGAGAACCTCGATAGAGAAAAAATCTCTCACCACACACCCACACATAAAAAGGGGGGGGGGGGGGGGGGCAGGTGTGCGGACGACAGGGGTGGGGATCAGCGCCATGCAGTTGCACACACGCCCTGCGCGCGCAGCGTGGTGGGGCGAGGCGGACGGCCGGCCGCGGGCCGGGTGCAAGGCGCCGGCCTCGGCGCCGCCTCGGCGCGCCGCACAGGCCTGCATTTGTTAGCGGTGGTGTGGCTTTCTTCTTTCTCTCGTTATTCGTGGTGCGCACGTACCTGCCTGTGTTAGTGCCAGTGCGCGCCAGTCCCGTGCCAGTGTTGGGAGACGGAGTGCCATTTCAGTGCGATCAGAACCGCGTCATTAAAATTCTTCTCACGTGCACCAGAATTCAGCGGCTCGCCTTGTTGAGGCCCTTGCCTACCTTCGCAGCTTCGGCAACCGGAGATGGACCTCGAGAGCCCGCCATTAGGCGACGGCGAAAGAGCGAGGACACACCGAAGTACACCGACGCTTATACGGTGGCAGCGCGTGGTGCAGCTCGCTTCCACCACGCCTCCGAGCGCTGAGGAGGGCACACCACGCGCCGTGCAAAGGCGGTGGCTGGCCGAGTCCTTTGACAATGCACAGCAACGCCGGACTAGTGGAGAGAACTACGACGGGCCGGCATTGGCACGGCAGGTTGACATCGCTGGCGGACGCACTGCTCGCTCGTTCCCACGAGCTGCATTTTGTGGCGCTTGCCTCGCACTAACTGCGCTCTGGGTGGCCATGCCAAACGACTGTCCCGGTCCTTCCCCGCCACCGGCCGTCCCACTGGCCTTAGCAGACCTGGGCAAGGTGAACAAGACCGGGCAGCTGACCAAGGGCCAAACTGCCCGGACGACCAGGCTCGTCGAGATTACGTTCGACTTGGTCCCAGCAAGGCCGGGTCGCCGCGTGCTGCTCCAGGTCCCAGCAAGGCCAGTCGACTCCAACGTCACGTCGGAGGAGTTGACCACCGTCCTTCAGGCCGCCCTGCCGCCCGAGGTCGACCCGGCGGCGGTGCGGCTGCTTCGGAGAGGGAGCGGCTTTGCGGTTTCCATCTCCTCGCGACAGGTCGAGATGGGCGACGTGCTCGCGGTCCTCCAATCCCAGCTTTTTGCGGACGAAATCCACTCACGAGACATGCGGGTCGAGAACATCCAGGTTGGCAGCGTCGCCTCCCTCCGCCTCGAGCCGCCCTCGGCACCCACGCCACCGCCGCCGCCCGAGTGGCTCGACGACCTCTGGAAATGGCTCGATTCGTTGCCGCCGCCGCCGCCAGGGCACCTGCCGCCGCCGCCGCCGCCGCCGCCGCCGCCGCCGCCGTCGTTAGCACACTCCCTCGTCCACGAGGAACTGGTGCTGCCAGTGTCGCTGTTGAGCGTCGCTCTCTTGGCCGCTGCAGCCTACGTGCGGCGGCGCAAACGCCGCGCCACGCCCGACCATCCACATTGCCGGCGCAGCGCGGGCTCGCTCAAGGGCGGCGAGCTGAGCGATGGCACCGACTGCGACTCGTCCGACTGCGAATCTCGCGCGTCGCCACTAAAGTCGGACCTAACGGCGCGCCATGGGAGAGAGCTGGACGTCGTGACCAAGAGTTTGGGGGTTGGGCCG